AGCCATGAGGGGTACTTTACCTCCTTGATGTGCTTGATAGAGAGGAGCATGGCGACCTCCTTCTTCACAAATTCCCTCCTCTCGGTCAAGAGGGGTCTCCTCCGCTGCTGTATTGGTTTGGCCTAAGGGTCCACCGAGAGGCGGTGGGTGATGACCCTTCGGCTGATCCCCGACATGTCCTCCGGCCCCCATGCAAAAAAAATGGAGTAGGCGTGAAGGGCGCTGATGATGCCGGTCTTCAAATCTTCGGGGAGCTTGGCTCCAATCTTCACGACTCTCTCCGGCTTGGCCGGATCGAGCACGAAGTCTTCTACCTCCTCGGCTGGTTCAGCCCTCGGCCTCCTGTCCTCCGCTTCCACAGTTCCGGTGATGGTGTCAACGCGGAACTCCGTCTTGCTAACCTTCTTTGTCACTTGAAGGTAGCAAGCGCGGGCAAGCTTTTGGTTCCCCCTTGAGTAACCGATTCCCCCCCTCGGCTGGGACCTTGAGGCAGAGGTGCCTCATGGAGATGACGGCTTCGAGATCCTCGAGGGCTGGCCGGCCGAGGATGATGTTGTGGGCGCAGTCGATGTTGACGACGACGAACTCCACTTCGAGCTTGGCTCTATGGAGCCCGTCGCCGAAGAGTACCGGGAGGGTTATAACCCCCTCGGAATCAATGGTGTCGCCGGTGAAGCCGACAAGAGGGGTCTTGATGGGCCGAAGGGACCCCCTCTCCAGATGCAGCTCTCTGAAGGTGCTGAGGTACATTACATTGACGGAGCTGCCCGTGTCAATGTAAGTTCTGTGAATAATAGTGTCATTTATTTCTGTCCGGATGACGAGGGCATCCCTGTGTGGGGAGGATACTGGGGGAGATCAACATTGGTGAAGATAATGGCTTCCTCCCTCATCCGCTTTACTGGGGGCATATGAGTGACTTCTCCCACATAAAGTGATTGAGCTCACTTCTTTCGTTGACTCGTAGAATCACCTCCGGTATTACCCCCCGTGATCATGAGGATGTGGCGCTTCTTCTCTTGGTACCGGGGGTACTCCTCCTCCTCTTCTTCCAGGTTCCCAATCTCCCTCTTTTTGCCGAGGCGGATGGTGTTGGGGTTGACCCATGCATTTGCTCTCGCAGTCTGCCCTCGGGTTGACCCTTGGTGAGGGGGGCCCTGTTGCTGAGGGCCCTGGATAAACTGGGACAGATGGCCCGCTTGTATCAATCTTTCGATGGCCGTCTTCAGCTGATGGCAGTCATCGGTCCTGTGCCCCTAGTGTCGGTGGAAACGACAGTAGGGGTAGTTTGGATTGATGGCAAATACTTCCGGGGGTGCGCGTGAATCTCGCTCCACTAGGCCCCTCTCCTCAGCAAAATCCAGAATGACGCTGACGGGGTGCGTCAAAGGTGTCCGAGGGTGCTCTAGGAGGACAGGTTGTGCATAAGCCCTCGGGTTCCCCTTGTAACCTCCCCCGGGCTTGGCTTGGCCGTGCCGGGGGCGATCACCGGAGGGGGCAGAATCCTTGGGATGATTGCGGGGAGCCCCCGGCCCCGGTTACCTTTGTCGTCTGGCCGAGGGTGTTGCTGATCCGGGACGTGGTGGCACTTCTCCACCTCCTCGGCTTCGGCGTACCGGTCCCCCCGCTGTAGGGCCCTTATATAATCGCGGAGGGGTTCGATGATGAGGCTCCTCGAGAAGTTCCTGAGGCGGAGTACCATTTGGAGGAGGGCCAGGAGGGTCCCGTCGTCAGCGCCTTCAACTTTATCAGCCTCCGTTCTCCAGCACTCCAGGAAGTCCTGAAGGGTCTCCTCCTTCCTCTGCCTCACTGTTAGCAAGTGGGAGAAGTGTTTTCTTGTGCGATGCCTACCCGCAAATTGCGTCAAGAATCACTGGGCGAGTTCTTACCATGAGTCAATGCAGCCCTCGGGCAATCGATTGAACCATTCGTAAGCCGACCCCTCTAAGGTGGAGAGGAATCAGTGGCACAAATATTCATCTGATGCCCCCACCATCATCATACTGTTTTGATACCTGCTGTAGTGCTCTTGGGGGTCAGTCTTTCCGTCGTAGGGCTTGATGAGCTGCCCTCGGTATTTTTCCGGGATCCGGGCCGCCAATACCCTTGGGGTAAATGGCGTCCGGGTCCGGAGCTGTATGGTGGGTTCCCCGGAGCCCTCGGCTATCTTCTTCTGCATTTCCTCCATTTTGGCCAACATCACCTCATACTTGAGGTCTGTATGAGGGGCAGAAGTGGTGGCGTGTGCTCTGGTGGCCTCCATCTCGTCAAGCCGGCGCTGGAGGGCCGCAATGATTTCGTCCCGGGGGTCCTTCGGGAGGGCCTCCGCCCCCTGCGAATGGACGCGGGCCGAGTGGGCCTGGTTGATTTGGTGGCGGGCGTCGTTGGCATGGAGAGGTGCCTTGCCTTTGTCCTGAGGGGGACGCCTTTCATTGGCCCTGGAGTCGGACCCGCCACTTTCCTGAGGCCTTTGGAACGCCTTCCCCCCGAGGCGGTCTTGGACCCCTCGGCGGTCTTGCGCCCCTCCGAGTCTCTCGAGGGCGGAGGTCCGAAGTTGTTCTTTGTTTACGTTGTGGCGGTCCCGGGACTAGACTTCCTGGGAGGCCGTATCTTGGGCCACGACCCCCTCGGAGTTCCCCGTCCGGAGGGGCGGGTTCCCGAGGGGGTGTGGATGAAGGGGAGGCATAATATTCTCCCCGACCTGTGGTTGGAGGGGAACCAAAGTGCCGAAGGCACCCGGGTTCTGGGTGAGCGTCTGGATGAAGGCGGAGAGCGCCGATTGATTCTCGCTCCGGTCCTTCTTCTTGGCCTCGATGCCGAGGCGGGCATCGGGGGCATTCTGTTGAATCTGCTGGCGTAGGTCGACAACCGTCTGGTCCAACCCGGCGATGACGCCGCCCCCGGGAGCCCTGTTAGAGGCTTCGGGGACGTCGACCTCGCCGAGGGCCAGGTTCCTGTCCTCTACATTCTTGGAGTTGGCACAAGTTGTTCTCACCATTTTTAGCTAGGTGTTTTGTGTTTGGTCGAGGGGGAGGGTTTCTTACTTGATTGTTCGACCTCTCAACGAGAGCACCAAATGATGGATAGTGTACCCGGGGGGTAGCTTATCCGAGGGGTTATTGCGGGGAATAACTAGAGAGAAGTCAGAGCAAGTAAGTAGAGAGAGAGAGTATATTAGAAATGTATTCAGTGTTTTCAGCGTATTTTCTTCTTGGTTACAAATGGGGAAATAGGGTGCTATTTATAGTAGCAATAAATGCCAGTCAGGGACACGTGTCAAGCATCCATTGGCCGAGGGGTCACCTCAACTGGTTGGCGCTGGCAATCGCATGTGGCTGCATTTAATGCGGCTGTTGGATGTGACGTCGTACTTGGTACGGTGATCTATACGCATGTGGAGCGGATATTATGTTGGAAAAGGTGCCCTCGGCTGTAGGTGATCAGCCGAGGGCTCTGAGTACCGGGGACCTCCTTAGTGCCGAGGGCTCCAGGTGCCGAGGGCTACTGGTTTCCGCCGTTTTCTCCCAGTAACTTTGTTTTCCTGTTTTGACCCTCCTGTGAGAATCAGAGCCTTCGGCCAGGGGGCCGAAGGCACCCCTGGTGCGCATTTGTGGGCCGCTTGGTACTCTGGGCGGCGTGATTTGGGCCTGTTGTGTTTCCTGGGCCTATTAGGCCTTTATTGGAGTAGTAGGAGTCTGTGGGCCGGGGGTTCCCGGACCATATACTCCATCAATATAATTTCAAAATATTGAAGTGTCTAATTGAAATGTATACAAACATAATTTATGATGCATATATTGTCATGATGGATGTACGATATATATTAGAAAGTGCAAAAATATGAGAGGATTCCCCATATAAGAGCAAAACATATAGAAAGTGCAAAAATAGAAGTGAGTTTGTGAAATTCCCCAAATTGGAGGTTTTTACTTGTGATTGGACCAAAATACCCCTCACAACCTTTACCACTGCTGCCCCAGGACTACTGAACCTCCGCCTGCCGCCGGACCTCCGGCTTCCGCCACCGGAGCACTGCCGGCAATTTCTAGAATTTTTTTCTGATAGTCTGCCAGATTTCGGCTGCCACTGCCGCCGAGCTGTCGGCACCACCGGAATGCCCCTGCTACCAACAGACTATCTTGGTTGTGCAAGAGAAGTAGGGGGCAATTAATTTGGTTAATTAGTTGCCGCAGTTCACCGCCGCCGCCGACAGCTACCGCAGTGCTGCTGCCGCCATGGACTGCCCCGCCATCGACGAACTGCCTTGGTTGCCCAAGGAAACTAGGGGGCAATAATTAATTAGAATAGAGGTATTAGGGGTAAAAAAGTAATGTTTACTCCTATTTGGGGAAGATTAGGAGTTAATTCCTATTTAGGGAAATGTGTTATGTTTTACTCCTATTGAGAGCAATCACTTATTCACTTTATATATTATACGTCTAATGCAATTAGCAATTTAATATTTTATTCATTTGAGATGCATATTATAGAATCATTGTACCCACTATATCATTCCTTTTGTGCTCTTTTTGTAATAAATCATCAATTTACAATTGTTTTAAACATTGTTATTATTTTATTATTATATAACATAAAATAAATCTCATTGTGAGGAGACTTTTCAAACAAATTTATAACAAAAAATTGAAAGGTAACAAAAGATTCAATTTCATCTCAAACAACTAGTCCTAAAAATTGGAGACTTTTCTCAAATTCAATTCAATATTCAAGAACATCCATTAACCTAAATTCTATCCAAATCTAAACCCCATGGAAATTTAGCCTAACATAATTATCATGAAACTAACACTATTAATAAAACAGCTAGAGTAATTTGTAGATGAAATTAAACAGTAAATAAACATCATTAACAACTCAATTATCCAAGTAAACAGAAATTCAGAGTATGAAATAATACAGTCATTAAAACTGAAAGCTTATTAAAGTTCGAATCTAAGCATGAAATTAGGATTAAAATTGAAAGATAACAAAAGATTAACCAGAGTATTTTGAGCTCGGTTCTTCTTCCTAGCAGCTCGGATTTTTTCCTGCCCGGAGCTACTTGAGGCTGAGTGATGGCGGATGAATTCTTTCCAGCTCCATCCTTTTGCCTCCTGCAAACTAGAGCTGGGGTGTGTATTATTTCTGCGGCTGAATTCCTTTTTTTTTCCTACTGCCGACAAGTAGCCAAGTAGGAAGTGTCTTCCTATTTTTTTCTTTGGCTATTAATTAGACAACCAGCTGCCCATTGCCATCTCTTCTCTCTTGGTCCAAAGATGGGACTCCCCACCCTTCTCATGTTTTGTTTTGGCCGACTCCCTCTTATCTCTTTTGTTTTTTTTTTGTTTTTTTGTTGTTTCTTTTTTCTTTTCTTTTATTTTGTTTGTTTTTCTTTTATTTGCTTGGGGTTTTTGTAACGCACCCTTGCTGCATTTTTTGGGGGTTTTATAATTTTTTTTGTTTGTTTTTCATTAATTCATTTATTTATTGCACTAAAAGAAATCAAATTCAAATATAAACAAAATCACAAAATAAAAAAAGTACAAATTAGTGGAAAAAACACAAAAATCAATCCAAACACTAGAATTAAACACAAATCTCTCAAAAATGTAAATTTCAACACTAATTTCAAACATTAACAAAAATGCAACAAAAACGCGGAAAAATGTAAAATTTTGCCCCGAGTTTGACAAGAAACGTTATAAAAAGTGAATGAAAATATATGAACAAATCAGACTTATCAGCGGCCAGATCTGCGGCGGACGCAGCCATTCTGCAGCAGCGGCGACCATTCTGCAGCAGCGGCCGTCAGCGGCGGCCGGCGACCTGAGGCGGTCCGGCGTTCTATCGGTGGCAGTAGGATTTCCAAGCTTCAGGGATGTTTTTGTCCAATTACAATTAATAACTCATATTTTGGGAATTTTTAAACTTTAGTCCTATTTTGACAATTAATGATGTGTTTACTCCCATTTAGATAATTACCTCTATTTATTAAGTGTCATGACTGTTTTTGGAGATAATTGTTGAAATAGTGGTGCAATCTTTAGTTGTCCTAATTTTACTTACGAGAGATACAAATTTGGGGTATTGTTTTTTTTGTTTTACTTTTAAAAAGTCTCCATTTGGGATGGAAAACATGTAAATGGGTGAATGTTGTTTGCAGTTTGGAATTATAAAGTTAAACTAGCAATCCTGATTCTTTCTTTACCAAAGGAGCATTGCATATGTTGACTTGTTTTAAATTATATTTTGGATTTTTTGCTACTTCAGATTGGTCTTGATAATTTGATTTTTAGTTGGCTCGGCTCTAAGTTGCTGATATTGATGCTTTAGTTTTAATTTAGCTTTCACACAGTGTTTATATCAAGGGTATTAGCTCAACTGATAGAGCAATGTGCATATTTTCACGAAGGTGTGGGTTCGAGCCCCCACATAGCCTACATTGCAGATTATTACAAGATGAATGCTCATGACTTACTATTGCTTACTCACATATCATTTTTTAGTTTTCCAAACCAAATTCTACACTTAGCTTTTTGACTTTTAAAAACACACACATTTTGAAGTTTGGTTGAGATCCCAGGTAATCCCATTGATCTCCATGGTGATGTTCTCATCACGATTGCAGCGAGATGCACGAGTATTGGAGTCCATGGTTAGCTCGAAAGAGAGACCAAATTAAGGTATTGGTTGTACGAAATGAGACTAGTAACTGTATTGCGGTACAAATGAAGCTTCTGGAAAAGAACTTAAAGCAATAAAGGCAATGAATAGGAATAAAAGAATGAAATTGAGTCAAAATAGGCTATTAAGTAAGAGCTATGATACCACTTATTCAACTAAGATCAACCGCATTAATGCCTTTCATCTTATAACCAACTTAAAATGACACAACTCTAACCAAGGCATATACATGATCTATTAGATTCTACACTTAAAATAAATGGAGCATTGATCTACATGAAATTAAAGTTTGGGAAATAAATTAAATCTTCAATCCACCTTGTTGAGATATCCTATGTGGGATTCGAACTCACATCTTTCGTGTAGTCACATGATGCTCTTCCAGTTGAGCTAATACGTTGTAAGAAAATATGTAACCTTCCATTTTAAAAAGTTATCACATTATGTTTAAAAGTTGACCATTTTGATCTATTAGTCATTTTAGTCATAGCTTTGTTTAATAAAACTTAAGGGTATTAACTTCAACTCTATTTGAAAGAAAAAAACATATAATAAATTAACAAAATTTGTACTTCTTAAGAGAGTGATGTTGTCCTTTTCAATTGCTTCTTTTTAGTGTTGAGTTCTAACTTGTGTACATCACTGCTGATCAACTTCTAGAATAACTTCATTATTAGCACCAATGTCATCTTTATTTAAGGCTTCAATATTTTCTTCGATCTTCTGCAATAAAGATAAAATGAATAACTTCTAAAACTAGATACATAACTTATAATTAACATTAGTTGAAAAGATCAAAATCAATAATTATATATAACTTATGCTAAAATAAGTAACTTTTATTATGAAGATGTTGCATTTCTATTAGAAGTTATGTTTTTAAGGTTAGGAGTTGTGATGTTCCTGCAATCAAAACAGTGTTATGATTTATGTTATATGATTTATGTTCCTGTAATCAAGATGTTGTGCTTGATCATTTGTGGCTTTTGTTTTTGTGTTATGAGTTATGTTATATGTCATTCAAGTAATATAATTTATGCTGACAGTTGCTCATTAGATCAATCATACATAGTACTCACTAGCTACCATATCTCCAGATATTTTAAAACATTGAATCTATTTTAGAGTGGAAACTGAAATGAAAAAAGAATTGAGAACAATCAAAACAGGGTGGTTTAAAAGAAATTGTGGAATAAAAAACATAACCTTTAATATAATATTCATAACTTTTAATAAAATATTCGTAACTTTTAACATAAGTAGATGCACTCCCACTATGTAACTGTTAATCCTTACCAATAATTATCAATAATACATAAAGAAGTATGAAACAACAAATGCAACAACTCACACTTTCTCAATGTCACTAATAAAGTAAATAATTTCTTCTTGTTCCCAAAAAAGTAATAAAGCAAATAATTATGTTATGGTAAGTGTTTACAATCTACAATTCTATTTAGAGGTTTCAAAAAACATTACTTTTATCCAAACTACTATAACATGTAAACCAAAAAATGTTACTTTTAAATCCAAAGACTTGACTTTTGTTTAAACTCCCAACACCTCTAAAACCATAAATATAACTTGTAATTCAAAAGGCATAACTTTTAAACAAAAAAGGATAACTTTTACTAAAATGCTAAAACCTCTAAAAGTTTAGATCTTATATGCAATTTTCTTTTTAAAAACGTAAAATAAGAATTACTACAACTTTTTAACAAAGAAAAACAACTCTTCAATCAAAACGAACAACTTTTACAGGTTTTACTAGTGACTTTGTCATGAGTGGAGTTTGTGCTGCAGTTTTCAAGAGTGCAGCTGCCCCTATTGATGTCTACGAGAAGACACTTGCCTCTGATGGTGTCATAGGACTTTACCGTGGCTTCAGCAATTCATGTGTTGGCATCATTGTGTATAGGGTCATAGGGTCTTTACTTTGGTTTGTAACTCCATAAAGCCACTTGTCCTATCTGGAAACTCACAGAACATATAGTTTCTTTGCTAGCTTTGGTCTTGGTTGGCTGATTACAAATGGTGTTGAACTTGATTCGTAGCAATTGATACTTACTATATATATCAGCGTAGATATATATTACGTAGTGTCAAAGTTAAAGTTCTACACTTGAAAAAGAAGAACATTAACATAATTTTACATTGAGACATTGCAACAAACAGATGGTAGGTGCAACTTAAAGCCATTATCTATAAATCAAACAAGACTTCATATATATACGAAAACACTTACAGAACCACATGCTTACTCAACAGGAGTACATGACAACATGATTTTTTATCGTATTCTTACAACTAGACACATAATCTTCCACTTCTCATGTTCTAATTCTAAAATAATCGTAATTATATAATCAAGATACTTAATGAGAGTAGGAGACTTACTCTTAATTCTGATTTAGTATATTGTCACCGAATCGCGTTATTTTAGTAGCGAGAGAGACCGTCACCGAATCGCCTATTTGAGTAGCCAGAGAGAGAATTTCCAGAAGCAAGATGGATAATAAGAGACTTTGAGCGAGAGAGACCATGACAGAGAGTAGGAGCAATGAAGCTCTCTTATTAAAAAACTAGCGCATCTGATTTTTAAAGAATCTGCAATCAGAAACAGGGTTTCGACTTTTGTCGTGCCTTGGTGCGACAGTGTGTGTTGCAGCACTACGGAAGACTTTCAGCGACGGAACGACATAGCTTTACCGTGAAGATTGATGGATACTATCTCGCAGGAACCGAGGAGGCAAGACGAGAGACATCTCGCGAGGAGGAAGGCTTGGTAGATAAGTTGGTTGAGAAATATGTGGGTCTGGACAATGGTGAAGTTTCGGACGAGCTGATGATTGACGGCGAAGAAGAAGGGGCTACAACGATGGAGGAAAATCAACCGGCGGAATTTCTGGTGGTATAAACGATCCTTACGAACAAAGTGATTCAGTTTCAGATCTTTAAGGACCTCATGGCGGCCTTGTGGCGCTCGGGCAAAGGGGTCTCGATTAAGGAGATCGAAGAAAAGAGGTACCTTTTTAAAAAAATTCACTATGTTGACATGAACCGTGTACGGGACAATGATCCATGGCTGTTAGTGCTAAGGGCCATCAAGCGGGGGGGTATCCCGCTTAAGGTCCCTTGGATTCGGTTGAGTTCTGGGAATTATCTTGGGGAATTTGTCAGGTGGGATGACAACCAGTTTGATGAAAAATGAGAAGCTTACATGAGGGTTAGAGTTCGTATGGATGTAGGAAAATCCTTGAAAATTGGTATTACAATTAGGAAAAGCAAAGGGCAAGGGTATTGGCTTGGGCTGACCTTAAATATGTAAAGCTCCCAAGTTTCTGTTTTATCTGTGGAGTTATTGGACTGGAGAGAAATGTTGTCCCCTATTGTATGAAAAAAGGAGGTCATGAATTGACTAAGCCATTTGGCCCGTGGCTACGGGCGGGAGGAAGGAAGGCTCGACCATCCATAGGAAGTAGTGGCTGGTTACGAAAGGAAGCTCTTCAGCAAATGAAAGTAACAAGACACATATAGATATGTCAACTCAGGATCAGGACCCAACTGACATGGGGAATAGTAATCAGAGATGGATGGTGGCTACTACCAATCCAGAAGCGGCTCAGACAGGAGGATGTCTAGAAGAGCCAAAGAGAAGACGTACATGGGAGGAACAAGAACAAGGGGATGAGGTGGGGTGACAATGGCCCTTGATGACCCGAAAAATGGGAAAGGGTCGGGCTCTGGGTCCCAGGCCCGTCAGAGCTACTGAGGCTGCTCACAACCATGATGGTTGAAAGACACCTCTATTATGCTTGCTTAACGTTTTTTTATTTTTCGTCATGTTTTGGATTTGTACTTTACTTTGTTGTGCTGTGTTTTTCCAGTAATTTTTTTTAGAACTTAGGATGGGGGACAAAGAGTCAGATCTGCAAGTCATTGACTTAGTTAAGCTCAAAGCGGGATCAACGAATTATATTGCTTCTACGGAGGTGATTAATTTTAAGTCTGATTCCAGGGCGCACGACAGACAAAAGACTTTTTATCATTTTGTAATCTACTTACGTTCTGTTATGATAATTTAAGCCACATGCGTGAAAAAATAAGAAATTGTAATCTGATGTGCGAAGATCGGTGGCTCCAGATGTGTGATGATCGGGCGTTAGAAATTGTTTCTCACTTTTCAGCCAGAATAGACTTCTCACCTGATCTATTCCCTATATATATGTGTGTGTGTGTGTATATATATAGAGACTTCTCATCCATATATATATATATATATATATATATATATATATATATATATATATATATATATATATATATATATATATATATATATATATATATAGACTTCTCATCCATATATACACACACACACACATATATATGGATGAGAAGTCTATATATATATATATATACACACACACACATATATATAGGGAATAGATCAGGTGAGAAGTCTATTCTGGCTGAAAAGTGAGAGAGAGAGAGAGAGAGAGCAGATCATATTAGGTCAATGTCATGTGGGGCTGTTCCTGGTGGATTTTTTTGATGAATTTTTTTTCAAGCATGTTTTTCATCAAGTCTAGTTTATGTCCACCAAATTTAAGCTAAAAATTCAATCGAGAAGTCAGTCAAATATGGAATTGAAAAATACTGCGCTGTATATATATAAAGCAGTGTTTGTAAATAATATACTACCTCCGTCCCGGTGGACTTTGCCAAATGCAAAGTAGGTGAGAAATAAGAATAGTAAAAACTGTGTAATTGAGATTTGTGCAGAGGAGAGAGAGAAACGTGCAGAACCACAAATTAGTTGCTTTAATAAGAAAGTGGGAATGTTTTTTTCCACAACTTAAAAAGGAAAGTTGGCAAAGTCCAATGGGACGGAGGATATTTGATTGCATTCTCGATTGAATTTGAAGCTGAAATTTGGTGGGCATAAACTAGACTTGATGAAGAACGTGCTCAAAAACTTTCATCAAAACCTTCCACCAGGAAGGGCCCCAAACGGGCTCACCCGGACGATGAGTCATGTCAGGCCGACTTGACATGATCGCTACTATATATATGTGTGTGTGTGTGTGTGTTATTTTGTATAATCAATTTTTCGGGACGATACAGGACAGTTTGTGACAGTTCAGTTCAATACGATACGGTGACGGTTCTGGTACGGTTCACACTTAGGAACCGGTACCATACCATATTATTAAAAAAAATTGTACGGTACAGTACGATATTATGTTTTTTTGGTTCGTCCGATTATGATACAATTCGAGACGATTCTCAGTATGGAATGAGAAATCCTAGACCTGTGTCCAGACTCCAGATCTAGGATACTAGGAAGTACGTAGAATTATTTTTGTCAATATGTATTAGAATGTTTTTACTTGGACTATAATTTGATAGTCTGATCTGTTATGTTTAAGTCTGGTCTGATAAATATATGGTATCTGTGTATTTTATAATTAGGGAAGTCTGATTTGATCTAATTTGATATGTTTAAGTTTGATTTGATTTAATTTGATTTGATTTGGTGTGATCTCGAATTCCAAAAGGTCAAAGTAAAAATAGGAAACATAAATTTTAATTAATACTCTCTCAAAAATAGGAAACATAAATTTTAATTAATACCCTCCCGTTGCAAATAATTACAATATTAGACTTCTCGAAAACTCTCGATTCTCCCCTCTTTTGGAATGCCTTATCGTTCACACTAGCGCAGTAGCGCCTCTTGAGAGCTCATCAAGCTCTGCTTGTGCAAACTCCACTCCCAGGAGCTTTATTTGTTTTTGTTAACGACAGGAGATAGTTGAATTCGAGTTTCAGATAGTTGAATTCGAGTTTCAGGTGCGTCTCTTCTACGCTTCAACCACTATCCTTTCCAGAATTACAGACCCCTTTATGGCTTTATCTGATTATTGAGCTTGGATGGCAAAGTTTGTATCTTTTCGCTTCTACACAAGACGAGTCGTTGGGATATGATATATGGCTGTATATTGATAAAGAATCAATTCTTTTAATTTTGATTCATAAGAATTCTTAGCGCCGAGTTGAGAACCTCGTGTTACGGAAGGGGTGTCCCAACAAGGATTTTAAAAGATTTGAATGGAGTTCATAATTTCACCCAAATCCAGTTGTCCTCAACTTAGATTCTTGTAGAGTATTAAAATCCGGGTATCCTCAACTTAGATCATTTTAATGGACTTTGATAGACTTTCATATACTTATTTCAGTTTAAAAAAACCTGCGCACAGGGTTTTTATATATGCGCACATTTCAATCGACGCTCACAGGGTATTCTCTTCCATCTTCCATCATCCACCTTCTTCATCCTTCAATTTTTTTCACTCGGGCTGATTAATCATCCCAATTCCTGGTAAATTCATTGTTTATCAGACTTCTCTTCTTTTTGTTCTGATCGATGATGGCTTGTTTGTAACATATGAGAAATTTAATTTGGGTATCTTTTTGTTCTATTATTGTTTTCAATTGGGTTTCCATAGCTTTGTGATATAAGCATTCAATTGATTATATTATATGCCGAGCTTCCACTTTTCGTAAATATCTGACGTCTGTTTTTTCTGTGCTATGTTTTCTTTTAGTCATTGGTTTTTTTTTTCAGCAGTTTTTCCAGCAAATGATTGTGGGATTTATGTTCGATATGCTTATATAACTATGAAATGCTAAATAAGATGTGTAGATTTTTTAGTTTAGGGTTGCTGATGCATTTCCAGTTGCACAGCAGTACTGCTACAAATAAGATGTGTAGAGTTCTTTACCCAAAATGCTAAACCACGAAGTGGTGTAAGTAACCAGTACTGCTGAACATTACCAAGATATAAGACATGCCATGTGTTTTTGTAAGCTAAAGTGTTCTCTTATTCTCTTAAACTGAAATTAGTATACCCTTATCTGAGGTTAAGGTGATGTGATTGTAATCTCAAATTTGGTTTCTCTATTAAAATCCATTGAAATCCATATGATTCCATGAAATAGAATTCCATATGAATCTCATGGAATCTGTAGAATTCCATTAAAATCAAATAATCAATAGAATCTACAATCCTTTAAAATCATTTAAAATCCGTGTTGGGGACACCCCCAAAAAGATTTTACTCCTATCTTTTGTCAATGTATTTTGATAACTGAACTTGTTCACTTCTTTTATGTATACCCTAGTAAATTGATGGCAGTCATACCTTTGGGAAGCACATCGGTGGCCCGGTATGGAGTTCAACCTCAGCTTTTTCCAAGATCCTCCATAATTGCTAACTCATCAGTATCAGAACTTCGGTGAGCACTTCTGCTAATTGCATTCTTGAAAGTGAAGTAGTGCATACTATTGGCGACAAATTGAGTCTGCCACTTGATTGGACGTATAAAAACCCACTCTTTCTTGTCATAACTGAGTAAACCCAGGGCCAAACTTTCATTCTAGGGTTCTTGTTCCAAAGATGTCCCTCACTCATATTCCGAAAGCGTTTGATCCAATTTTCATAGACTTAATAACTTATATTTTGTGCTCAGGTAGTGAAAAATGAAGAGCGACACCATAAACATTTTCTGGTGTAGTGATAGTTCTGTTATCTTAAGCTATTACTTGATTTTCTGGTGTAGTAATAATTACTTGATTTTTATCATGTGAATCGTGAAATACATTAATAAAAAAGATTTATAATTGCCTGCCTATACCTAAAGCTGTTTTGTTGTGGGAAAAATAATACTACCTCTGTCCCCCTGTTATTGTCCCATTGCGGTTTACGATGCTTGACTGACGATAAAGCAAACAGATCCCTGTCCGCACTAGAATTATTTTTGGAATTTTTTTTTTACATATTCATAAACTACATTAAAAGTTTTACAAAGTCGCAAAAACCAGAATCAAATTTGATAAAAATTTGATAAATAAAGTAAGAGATTAAGAATGATTTGTGTTGACCAAGTGAATAGGAAATGAGACAATAATAGGGGGACGGAGGGAGTAATACAATTAGTGCATTATGTTGTGCTCTCAGTGCGAGTACTTTGAAATTTTACATTAACCTGTATGAGTGTACAGTAAATACTCTAGTTGGTCCTTTGTCTTGCATTCTCGTACCTGTGCGATAGGATATTATATTCTCATATCTTTTATAAGCATCGGTCACATTAGATAAACTTCCCCATTTACTTATATGTTTACAAGAGGAACAGTTTTGCTTAAACTGATGACGTAGCTTTTGAGTGTTGAGTTTTGGTATTCTGCTAATTGTTGTCCATTAGCTGATATATAGTTCATAAGTAGTTACTGATTTCGTAGGTATCATGCTTAGTATCCTAAGGGGGTTAATTTCTTTGTTATTCTTTTAACCCTGAATGTCTCTATCACAGGTCCCTGAGCTAGAATATGATAGGATAATATAATAGGCAGGAAAAGTAAAGGAAAATTTGAAGGAAAAAAACTTGGGGGACTTAAAAGATAGATGTAAACTCAATAAATCCGTTTTACATATTTTTTCAAATAGTTTTATTAATTTATTGAGTTCTATTATAGAAATAGCAAGAAATATAAATGTATGTAAACAAATTTAAATAATCATCACATAATAATTTTTTAACAGTTGTTAACCTTATGGTATTCCATCATTTGCAATGGAGCCAAAAACTCATTATTTTTTGGCTTGAGAATATGATGGAATAAAGCAAATGAGCTCACTAAACTGTCTGCGCTTCTTTGTTATGAAGCAAAAGTCAGTCCATGCAATTTTTGACGCGATTTTCACTATGGGTCATCCGGAAACAGTCTCTCTGTACTTTAGTACAGGGGTAAGACTGCGTACATCTGACCCCCCCTTACCCCACTATAGGTGGGAGCCTTTGCGGCACTGGGGTAATGATAAATAATGTTAATGATGTTAACCTTGTGGTATTCTAAGCAGCTTCCCAAGTAAGGTACGAGCTTTGGCACTTCCAAGTTCAAGATTTTTTTGTCAAGTATCTATGAATGAGCTTTTCAGTTCATTGTCATACAAGAATCCATGCCAACGAAGAGGGAATCGCCTCATTGTTAGAGCAAATAAGGTAAGATGCAATGTTGGATTTGCTATTACTAAGTTACAGTTAATGCTGCAATATAAAGTCTTATATTGATCGTTTGAAGTGCAGAAGAACATATACTCCCTCTATTTATTATTACATCTCCACTAGGCTTTTCACGAAGTTTAAGAGTAAAATATAGTAGTGTAGAAAAAGTAAAAAAAAGTAGGAAAGGATAGATGAAATAAGGGCATTTATGTCTGTTGAGTCTTTATACGCATGTAATTGCCAAAAGAAAGACAGTTGTATACTGGAGCAAGTAATAAAAAACACCCATGAAAGGAAAGTGGAGCAAGAGAAAAATAAACCTAGGGTGTACATTGTTGAATACTTGGTTGACTATATTCTACTTTTGCAGGATTTCTATTCTGTTCTTGGTGTATCAAAAAATGCCAGCAAATCAGATATTAAAAGTGGTAATTTAAAGATGAACAATTTCCATTATCTTCTGTGCTTTATTTTAGTGCCTTATTACATTCTCACTTGACACTTCTTGACTGCATCATATCACCTTTCCTAGTAAGCGATGCATATTAATTTACCTTGTGTTGGTAAAAGTATCACATCATACTAGGAAATGTCGAAAAGGAGTGAGTAGTCTACCTTATGTGGGTAAAATGATCTAATTATATGCAGTAATTTGCGCACTGCTAGAAAAAGAATTGTCAAAGTCATATTCTAATATCTCTTTTCATGCTCAGCTTATCGAAAGCTTGCAAGGAACTACCATCCTGATGTGAACAAGTAAGTAGATATACTGCAAAGCTAAAGTTTAGTTTTTTTTTCATGTGACCTTTCTGGACAGGCTTCTGGGATAAGTGGGTAAGTATTTGGTCAAAGTGGAAAGTGGAAAATCTTCTAAAATGACCTTAAATAGTTAAATAGGAAAAGGGGTATATGACTGTGATTCTCATCCAAAAATGATTTACTCTGTTTTTCCTTGGTTGCTAATTTGAATTATTTCTCTCTTCTACAGAGAACCCGGAGCTGAACAGAAGTTTAAGGAGATAAGCAATGCTTATGAGGTAACATTATTTTAGGCTTGATGCAATGAAGGTGTTTTAAAATTTTGTTCCAGGTGAATGAATGTTGTGTTCTGACCAATTCATACCTTAAATGGGAAACTTGTGCTACAGGTCTTGTCAGATGATGAGAAACGTTCCATATATGACAGATATGGGGAGGCTGGGTTAAAGGGTTCTGGCATGGGTACAGGGGTAAGGTTCTCTCCATGATATGCTTGGATTCTGGAAGTGATGGGGAAAGAAAAAAGTGAAATTGCCTTAAATAGGAGTAAACACAATGTAATATTTCAAAGTAGGAGTACTATGTTTTCCCTCCAATTAGGAGTAATAACTGTCATGCTTAGAAAATTACTCCTAATTATGGTATTAATACCCTTATAATGCCAAAATAGGCCAATATGATTTCAGGATTATGACAGTAATTCACTCCTATTTAGGGAAAATGTAATACTCATATTTTGAAATATCACATTGTTTTTACTCCTATTTCGTGAAATAAAGAAAAAAATGCCAAGCAATGCTATTTTCTTATGTTTGGTTTTAACTTGTATGGTTCAAAGAGAAAAAATTGAATGTAATAAAGTATCTAAAATAATTTTATTGAGCTTAATCAATCTTCTAATCCTCCTTCCCACATTTTCTTTCCTCTATACTTGGCTTCCTATTTTCCCTGAAATATTTTCTCAGTTTTTTTTTAAAAATACTAATGTAGTACAGTATAAGCTTTTGCCCCTTGAGCTAGAACAGTATAACATATCTTGTTTGTTTATATTATTTTTTGGACAGGATTTCAGCAATCCGTTTGATTTATTCGACTCGTTATTTGATAGCCTTGGTGGTGGGATGGGTGGCATGGGGGGAAGGGGGTCAAGAAACAGAGCCACCGAAGGAGAAGATCAACTCCATAACCTTGTTTTAAATTTTAAAGAAGCTGTATTTGGGGCAGAGAAGGATATTGAGATAACCAGGCTCGAGAGCTGCAGCACATGTGATGGATCTGGTGCAAAGCCAGGGACAAAACCGTCAAACTGCAACACATGTGGTGGGCAAGGGCAAGTCGTGTCGTCTGCTCGGACACCACTGGGTGTCTTCCAGCAGGTGATGACCTGTTCCTCTTGTAATGGCATGGGAGAGATCTCCACGCCTTGTAACACATGTGGTGGTGATGGAAGGGTAAGAAAGTCAAAGCGCATAAGCCTGAAAGTTCCGCCTGGTGTAGATTCCGGTAGCCGTCTGAGGGTTCGGTCTGAGGGCAATGCAGGCAGGAGGGGTGGGCCCCGTGGGGATCTTTTTGTGGTCATAGATGTTCTACCAGACCCCGTACTCAAAAGGGATGACACCAATATCCTGTACACTTGCAAGCTATCTTATGTGGAGGCTATTTTGGGAACTACAACAAAGGTTCCAACGGTTGACGGTGAGGTAGACTTAAAAGTTCCAGCTGGGACCCAGCCTGGGACAACGTTGGTCATGGCCAAGAAAGGCGTGCCTCTTTTGGGAAAATCCAACATGAGGGGGGACCAGCTGGTGCGGGTGCAGGTTGAGATCCCGAAAAGGTTGAGTAGTGATGAGAGAAAGCTTATTGAAGAACTCGCCTCTTTGAGCAAGGGGAAAACTCCAACTAATAGCAGGAGGTAGTTTATTGTTAAACTGTGATACCCCCTAACTCTGTTCTGATTGTGCCTCTAAATTATTCCCCAGTCTTCTGCACACAGCTTCAAGTTGTTGTAGTCAAATTTTGACTGTTGGATTGTAGTCTGTGGATCTACAACATTTCCTACGGTAATGTCTTATTTGTTTTTGGAAACCAAAACTGCCACCATTTGGCCTTCCATAAGATTTGTAAAATGGTAAACTGAAATTTTCTCATGACTAGTAAAGACATGATATGCACTGTGCTGGAGGTTGATGTGTGCATTAGGTTGTTTGCATTGTAAGCTATTATTGGAAGCAAGATTGTGGACGTTAAAACTGTAAGGATGTTTTTATTTGGACCAGAAATTTTCTGGTCTGAACTAATTTGTAAAGTCTGGTCTGGGATTGAAAAAAGTCCAAGGAAAAGCATCCCAAGTGTTAGCACAATCATTTAGGCACATACTAAAAAAATACTTCGTATTAAATAATGATATAATATACAAAGTATATACTATATATTGAGGTTCTATTTCAGTTATTAATGTATGTATGATATTATTGTCATTTATATGTAAGGTATGACAACAACAACAATCATCCAAGCCTTAATCTCAAAAGAATTTGGGGTCGGCTAACATGAATCGATCTATGATATTGATGCTAAAAAGAGAAGGCGGTCAAGAAAAGGGAAAAAAAGTAAGATAAAATGAATAAAATAAAGATACATAAATATAAGATAACAATAACACAAGAATATAACCAAGATAAAAGAAAAATAAATAAATTAGCATACAAAAGCTAGAAAATAAAATAACATAAGAATATAAAAAGATATGGAAGATAAACGATAAAAGAAACAAAAGAGGAAATGTAGACAAGACATCAATCGTCCACATGGATGTGCGCTCTTCATTTTGCTCTCTTCAAAGCCATACTCTCATCCAACCCAAGAAGACGCATATCAGTTCCGATTACTCTAATTCAAGTCTGTTTGGATCTTCTCCTCCCTCTCTTCTCTGACTCTTCTCCTAACCCCTCAAGTCGTCTAACAAGTGCATCACTCGGTCTTCTATGCACATGCCCAAACCACCGCAAACGAGACTCCTGCATCTTTTTTTCTATAGGTGTTACTCTCACCTTTTGTCTGGTTACCTCATTCCTCAAGCGGTCTTTTCTGGTATGTCCACACATCCAACGCAAAATACGCATCTCTGTCGCACTCATCTTTTGAATGTGGCATTGCTTCACCGCCCAACACTCTACGCCATACATTAACGTCGGCCTAATTGTTGTACGATAAAATTTACCTTTCAGTTTAGTCGGCATACCTCGATCGTAAGCCAGGATAAAGGAGGAGGGTGCTGTGGTAGGCGCGTGACGACCAATAGTATCACTTAGTCACATCACATGACATGAATCGAAATATGTAAGGTATGACAATGTTTGTATATTCTATGATTACAAACTTACAAATAATGTATGTATGCATATATACATCATCGTTTTTATACAATATTAGAAAATAATGTTTGCATATTCTATTATATTACAAACTTACAAAGTAATGTATATTCTATTATTACAAAGTTACAAAGAACAACTTATTTATATATTATAAAGCTTTATATAAGTACTTATAATACATAATAATTACATGTATTATGCAGTATACGGAGTATTAGCATTACAAGGTTATTTAGAAGAATTAAACGCGATTATTTGAGTATATTTTGAGATGTAAATTTGATGGATTTATAATAAAATGAATTTATTGGTGATATTTGACTTGTGATGTTATAGATGTACTCCATTCGGTTCTTAATGAACTTTACATTTTCCTTTTTGGAGAGTCCCATATTAAACTTTACACTTCCTTATTTGGCAAACAATCTACACCAAAACAGTGCAAAATAATGTCACACAGTGTCAAAATAGTGTCAAACAGTGTACTCTACAGTAAAGTCAAATTTTTTTCCTTAATATGTGTGAACTCAAACTTCATTAAGAATCGGAGGGAGTATTTTTTTGAAGGAAAATGTATGGAAAAGGTATATGTGATTGAGTCCATTTTCAGATAGGGTCATCTGTTTCATTTTTTAACAAAGTGGATTGTGTGTTTAAACTCGGTTATCACAAGAGGGTCCTAACGTCTGACGCCTTTAGAAATCGCCAGAGAAAGACGATGAACAGTAACTTCGATTTTCAAAAGTGCCTGTAAAACTAAAAGAAAAATATCAAGAGGTGCGTCTCAACAAGATGATCTCTAGACCATCTTTCTTTTTTGTTTCCAGAGGAAAAGTGATATTAATGAGTTCATTTTTAAAAAATAATCCAAACATATTACAAAAATTCAAAGATGAAGATAGTTTGGAGGTCATCTTGACGAGACCATCTTCCAATATTTGATTTTACAATTTTTTGAGCACTTTGAAAATCGGAGGTCCTATTCATCATCTTTTTCCAGCATTTTTACTGTTAGGCGTCAGGATTCTGCTATGTTAATAGAGTTTAAACACATGACTTTCTTTGTTAAAAAAGAAACACATAAGCTTATCTGAAAACAGATCCAACTACATGTACCTCTTTCGTACTTTTCCCCGTTTTTAATACTTGATGATTAAATTACCGTAAAAGTATTAGTTCCGGAGTATGTTTTAAAAAAGAAATAGGAAGCTTTACTTGAGATGTTTAAAAGAGGCATGTGAGAAGTGTAAAGTGGGGAGTATGTATTGTAAATTATACTCTCACTTTTTTGGGGTTTTTACAAGAATATTACTAAAATAAAACATATTTACATAAATATGACTATTCATTACTACAATGTGGTGTTGCGGTAACTTAAACTCAAAACTTGAACATGAATTACTATGATTTCATTACTACTCTAGTCATTAGTCATATTTTAGTAAATCATATTTAATTTGGTCATATTTATGTAATTATTTCCCGTTTTTTTTTTATGTTTTTGGCTAAAAGAGATTCAAATTGGTGTAGGAATTAGGAACCTACAGGGAAGGCCGGAACTGGACACAGAATACCTACCCAATGCAGGTTGGGACTTGGGATGATGTGAATGAAATCAATATGCACAATCTTCACACTACAAATTCTTCAAGTGACGGACATTGGCCTCTCAGTTAAGCTAATTCTTTGAATATTATATACGGCGTGCAAAATTTAGAGCCAGTTTGGTAACACTAAAATCGGCTGAATCGGTTGATTCTGCTGAAATTTATGAAGTGTTGGCTTAAGTAGTTATATTGGCTGATTATGCTGATTTATGAAAAAATTAAATTTAAAATATAATTTATTAATAATGGCCTTCTACAGTAACTTCAACCGAAACAGCCAGAAAAGTAACTCAAACCTTACATTTTCTTATTACTACACATTTCAGCGCGCAATTTCAAAAATTACTTGGTGAAAAATTTGGCTGATAAACCTGATAAAAATCACTTTTATCAAACGGGCTTTTAGTTTGTTAGTTTCCCTGGGTTTTTATTGATAAAAAGATATTTGTACACACTAGTTTACATTTTTTACAAAATGAGTTTGAATTGGGGCATCAGACAATCATTGTTTGTGAAACTGGTCATACACAACTTGCGTCTTTGTGAATTGCTTGAAAAAATATGTAAATTGCACAGTAAATTGCGTCTTTGTGAATTGCTTGAAAAATAAAATATGTAAATTGCTCAGTAACTCTTATTTGTGAATAGACATATATACTTCTCTTTGTGTGAGGAAAATGCATCTGAAAATGTGTAAACTATCCACACAAACAACAATTCTCATTTAAATATTAGTTGGTAATATTTTTATGGTTCTAATTCATTATTACTATTTTCATAATTTATCAATTCAATTTCATACAACCCACTTTTTATAATTGCACCCCTTTTTATAAGCACTGTAATACTCCCTCCGTCCCGCTAGTCTTGACCTGGACAAAACCGGGCCGGCCCGCCCAACCCACCCACACAAATAGGCGGGCTTGGGCATATATATTTACCCACCGGTCCGGCCCGAGCCCGGCCCGCAAAAAGATATGGACGGACTTGGGTTAGGGTGTAGGCCCGTTCGGGCCGATAAACCCGACCCGCTACATTTAGTATACACACACACACACTAATTTATTTATTAATTTGCATATACACATGTATATTTATTATAGTTACTAATTTTTCTTTATACATATTTATAGTTTATTATGTTTAAATTTAATTTTTTAGTTCTTAACAACTAGCCCAACCAATATAATATCTATTTTTGTACTTAAAGATAATACTTTGTGCTTAAATTTTAAATTTTAGATATAGTTTCTCATTATTATTTTTGTGCAAGTATTTTTTTTGTATGTGTTGAAAGACGTATAAACATGATAAGCGTATTAATTATTTTTTAAATGTTGTAATATTATTTTTAAAGTATTTAAAAAATCATATAATTTTGAAAAAATTAAATTTTTCCCGGGCCGGGCGGCCCGATGGACTACCCGGCCCGCTCTTATGGGTGGGTATGGACATAGAGTTAGGCCCGTTTTTGCAGGCCGGGCCCGCCCACACACGATGGGCAGAAAATTTATAAAAAGCCCAGCCCGAACCCGGCCCGAACCCGTTTTTGTACAGGTCTGCGCTAGAAGGTTCCCGTGAACGGTTTACGATGCTTGACTGACGATAAGCAACTTAATCCCTGCTCACACTCTGATTATTTTTACTAAATAAAACTAACATATTCATAAACTACATTAAAACTGCTACAAAGCCTGATAAAAAAAAATGTAAATTTGATAAAAATTTGATTTATAAAGTAAAGGATTAAAAATGATTTAAGTTGACCATGAGAATGGTGGATGGGAACCTTCTAATGGGACGAAGGTAGTAATTAAATTCTAAAAATCCATGAAATGTGTTTCTTGCTCTATTGAATCGCAAAAACCAAACCTCAAGGTGAAAAAGAACAGGGTACATTACATAACATTAAAGATTAAAAGTTGCTATTATTATATAAAATAAAATTAAAGATGCAAAGAAGGGTGAGTTACCTCTGAGAATAGGGTATGCTAACCTTATATTGGTAATGCAAACTTTATAAATTTCTATTGTAAAAGGAATAACATACATATGGTATCAGCTAGAAGAGATTAATCAGGCGCGAGAGATAGTCATCACATGCCGCCTGGGAAGCTCTTGCGGTCTTGCCTCAGGTTTAAAATTTAACTTAACATAAATGTTAAAAACAGATTTTTTAGGTAGTATAAAATGTAGGTTGATGTCTCAAATAAAGTTGAATTTTGAGGATTTCATACAATATAAAACTGGCCTTTGTATAACAAACAAACTTACACTAAACTTTTTCAGTACGAGAAATTATAGTTTGTTTCATATATTACTCTATCAATAAATAATTGAATAGAAAGAATCCTAGAACCATGCATAATAAGCAACAGTTTTCATGAATGTTAGATGTAAGTGTGATTCGGCAAGTATAAGTTATCCTTTTATCATCTTGTTTTAAGTTTAAAATTCAATCAATTATTCCATTTCACCCATAATTAACAAATTAAACAAAGTTGGCAACTTGGCCGTTTAACTCAAATTGTATCCATGTGGTTCAAACGAGTTTATACTTGACTATATCATAAACATATCGTTTATTCAACAGCACAAAAAATATAGGATCATAAAAATGCAATTTAAAGATACATAAACACCAGTTACTTGCTGCGGCGTGGACCGCAAGGTGCAGCTACTTGCTCACTTTCATAGTGTTGCTACTTGCTATCATGTTGGTTTGTTCAAGTGTTCAAGAATCAAACGCTGCGCTCCAGCGACTAGCCTACGCACTACTTCACCCGCGGGCAGAATTTCCTTTATAAGACCAACACCTTGACCAGCATACATTGCCATGCTCTCTATATCTCCCGTTGCTGTTCCATTCGGGGCAGAACCCGCAAAACGCCGAATTTCTTTTTCCTGTTCCACGAGAACAAGTCATACATCAGATAAGCCAAGCACGGAAAAAGCCTTCATTTCCCCCTCTACTTATCTGTGTAACAGAAATCTACTTACCCTGCCGTGTACAGTTGAATAACCAGTGATTGGTTGACCTATCTCATTCTCATTACTAGGGAGATTCCTCCACTCCATAAAGAACGGTGTCTTTAGGACACGGGAGGGTGCCGGCCACCTAGCACGACCAAACACATCTGAATACTCTGTCTCATCAATTTCAACCAACTTTCTCTTGTAAATTGGGTGAGCATTGCTTTCCTCTGTTGCAAGGAACCTACAAATAATCAAGAACCAGTGTCCATAATACTAACACTTATATGAGGCTCAATGTCTTTTATGTTCTATTTACTTTTATGTTCGTCTGATGTAGGATGACTTAACATGATCTTTTAAGATGAGGACTCGTTAAAGCACGATGAAGCAGACTAATTTTTAAAAGTATGTGTGCTGAAATATCATCATAGGAGTAATCCAATATCTTATATAAATGGTACACTATCATCCAGTTGTTTGTTAATCAGTATATCGAACCTTGTGCCTAGAGCAATGCCCTGAGCTCCAAGTGCAAGAGCAGCAACATAACCACGCTCATCCACTATACCTCCGGCAGCTATAACTGGTATGCCACGGGCTTGAACTAGATCAACCACTCTGGGCACTAGGGTCGTCAAGGCATCCTGAAGATAGCCAAAAGAGTTAGAAAAAATTGTCATATGCTAAATATCAAAGGTCCAACTTCCTTAAACTTTGGGCATGCATTGTTTGCTGTTATACCTCTCCAATAATGTGCCCTCCAGCTTCCCGACCTTGGATCATGATTGCGTCAACACCAACATCATAAGCTCTTTTTGCTTCTTCATAGCTTCCTACCTAAAAAATAGTACACAATGCACTGGTCAATCTATAGTGCCATATGGCTCCTATCACCCACATCTACTCGGCTCTGAAGAACTCCAGAAATGCACTAGTGGCTTTAATTTTGTTAAGAGCCACACATCAGAGTATTGAAAAAGACATATGTGTTCACAAGGATTTGGATTAGATTAATCAATTGGATTCGATCTCTTGGTATTCTTTTATCACATATACATAACGGGTAACGACCAAGTGAAGCGACTCCATCCAATAATGAATTCTATTATTACTCACTAACACTTGGTGATTCATCCATAAATAAGATGCTAGGACAAAACTATTACTCCAATATACTACAACAAATAGAACTATTTGTTCACCACAAAATAAGGGGGACTTACTTGTGGCACAACCATGACCCCAGCTTTATGTGCCTCAAGAACCAGCTCCTCTTTGCATTCACCCCAGTAAAGCTGTAAGACAGCAACCTTTTCGTCTAATATAGCTTTAATATTCTCCTCATGAGGAAATGCAAGAACCACTCCAATTCCAAATGGTTTGTCAGTTAAGGCTCTTGTCTCTCTTATAATTTCCCTTACATGATCGGGATCCTCCTGTTGTAACGAAAATCAATACAGTGAAACCTTAATACAAAAGGTCAGTAGGATTTTTCAAACAACTCTATTATCTTTCATTAGCTCAAAGGACTAGATATTTTCAGCTAAGCAATGTTATTAAGATTTGAGGTTTCATTCTATCGAGACCTACCAACATTTGAACAAATAACCCACAACTGTTTATATTTATTTTTTCCTAATACATGTTACAATATTAAGATTTGAAGTTCCAACTAGGTGTTGATTTTTAATTTTTATGTTTACATTTTATCAAGGCCGGATCCTTAACAAATACGGAGTATTCAAATATGGAGTCCTCTATTTTTATAATTACAACAACTGAGAATCAAACTAGATACCTAGTTATATATCTACTGTGTGGATTTAAGATATAAAAATTCAAGAAAATGACTGGGCATGGAAATAAGTTAATTTAATCAAGAAAAGATGGATTTTTTAAAATAGAATATTCCAACAGAGGAAATGGGTGTAAAGAGGATATGGCCGCCGGTACACACCCAATCAGGGGCTCTAAGAAGACCAAGTCCGCCGGCATTTGCAACAGCGGCAGCAAGCTCCGGGCCGGAGATATCCGCTCCCATCGGCGCCTGTACAATCCCATACTCGAAACCCAATATCCCTCTCCAACCCATCTCAATTTTTCTTTAATTTTGTGCTCTAGCGTCCCTTCTCATTGTTCTGAGCTACAATCAGGGGCTCTAGTAAGAAAGTCTCACTTGTCTCATGAATCTTTTTGGGTGCTTTTTGACTGGCTTTTGCTTACTTCCAAGGGACGTTGGGTGAGGGGAAGTGGCGCCAGAGTGGAAGACCCTTTATTTTTTGTATAAAATGGGGAAATTTAATCAGGAAAAATAAAGGTAAAATGAAAACAACTAAAATACTCCAAACTTTGAAGGAGGGTGAGATAAATATCCCAAACTTGTATAAGTAATTTAAATATCCTAAACTTTATATAAAAAGTTATTTTCACACCATTATCATGTATTATTTCTTTCAAAAATGTATTTTTTTTGGGTTAATTGCATAATTTAAAATAGCAAATTAAAAGTGTTGCAATTATATAGATTTGGAATTACATTATTTATTTCGAAATGGAAAACTTAGAATGTTAATTGCGTCTTCATGAATTCTAAATTATATTAAATTATGCAATTAACACCATAAACTTACATTTTTAAAAAATAATACTTGACTATGGTGCTAAATAACTTTTTATATAAAGTTTGGGGTATTTAAATACATATGCAAGTTTGGGGTGTTCATTTCACACCCCTTCAAATTTTGGGGTATTTTATTTATTTTTCCCAATATTTTATCACTCTTCTTAGTTCTTACAACAATCTCACCCAATCGTAATTGAGAAATAATCAACTTTTACACTTCATCTTCATTTTAAGTATGGTTATAAGGTATCGTACAGACGAACATGGTTGGGCAAACAAAAGGTCATTGCTGAAATTTTTGGAGGTTGGGAGAAGTCATATTTTAAATTGCCCCATTTCAAGGTAGCGCTTCAACATTCCAATCCAGAGACAATTGTGCACTAGTACCCACCCCTCACAGGTCCCACTGAGTATGTCCATTTTCAGAGAGTCTTTTGGGCATTCAAGCCTTCTATTCATGGTTTTAAGCATTGTCAATCAGTATTGACTATTGATGGCACACACCTGTATGGGAAGTACAAGGGTACATTACTCGTGGATATGGATAGCGATGCAAACAATCAACTTTTTCATGTGGCCTTTCCAATATGTGAGTCGGAGAATGGGGAGAGTTGGAAATGGTTTATAGCATGCATTCGCGTGTTTGTAACCAAAAGGGAATTATGTGTCATTTCTGGTCGACATTCAAGTATTTAAAGGCAGTGAATAAGGTGGGAGTGGTTGGGAGGAGCCCTTTGCGCATCACATGCTATGTATGTGTCATCTTGCATCGAATGTGCACACCCTTTTTAAATACATCCACATGAAAAATCTGTTTGTTTGGAAAGCACGACAAAAAAAAAATGATGGTGGGTTCAACAGGATAGGCAAAATGCAGGCGGAGGCACGACAATTTCTGGGGAACATACCACAACTTCTAATATGGTTGTGGTTTTCACATAACAGATACTTCCCCATCACAGTTTTGGTTCAAGTTTCCTTTTACGGCATTAATGCATATTTTGTGGACAAACGTGAAAGTAGCACAAGAAGAGTGACAGAAGGTCATGAGTACTCGCCAAACATAACAGATATCATTGAGAAGAATAACGACAAGGCCAAACAACACATTGTCACTGCATTTGATATAGGCCGAGGGCTATACCAAGTGAAAACGAGATGTGACGTCCGAATGTTGGGAAAGGGTGAGAAAAAACAAACAGTTATTTTGAAGAGGCGTACTTGTACTTGTAAGAAGGTGGAAATGTATAAAATTTCGTGCACACATGTATTAGCTGTGTGTAGACAACGTAGTTTGTCTTACCATACTTTTGTGGATCCTTTTTCTCATCTTCCCAATACGCCACTTCATATCAAAGAGTTTTCAAACCCATTCCTGATCGTGCATATTGGCCGACTTACACTGGATCGTGAATTGTGCAGGATCCATTATAGTACGATACCATGGGCTAGATGGACACCCACTTCATGATCAGTCTCCACGACTCCTTGGACCACATCATTGACGGGGCGAGGACTCTTTGGTGGTGTCAGTATGTTTTAGAAGAGTATCTTTATTTTATTGTATGTTCTGAATAGTTAGATGGCTATTTGCTTGTCTTTATCGCACATCATCGATTGCTGGGCTCGGCTACTATATAGATGCATTTGATTGCGTGTTTGATGATCAGGTTTGGTGTACATAATATAACTTTAATTATCCTTATGCCATATACAGCCCAAATGTTAGATGAGTTGCCATCGGCACGATGAGAGTATTATGATATATGGCGACCACGTGTTCCATTGATATGTTCTGCGTCAGTTTGACTATGAGCAGGTCATTCCAGCAGTTGCGGACACATGTGTGGATCTTCATAAGCTGGATAGGCGTGGGAAGCCTACAGAGGATTAGTCGCTCAGACATGTCCTATACGTCACTATATGAGAGAGGCGAGCGGAGCTTGTTGTGACTGGGACACCGACATTACATCCATCGGTTTCTTTAGACTGCATGAGATAATAATTACACTATCACACAGTTGTTTGTCTCTACTTCTTTCAGGCTCCCTACTCACCATTATCAGCCTAGTTCCATGGCGTTGCATTTGATGGTAAATGTGTTACTAACTACTAAAGTAATTCATGTTCTTTCTGTCAAATTATGTTTTTATACTGTGTTTGTAACCAGGTGTATTAATTAAAAATAAGACAAAAAAATAAAATAATTGTAATAATTTTTATAAATTAATTAAAAAATCGGGAAGAAATAAAATAAAAAAATTAAAAAAAACTTTAAAAAATCTAAATAAAATAAAATAAAATACATAAAAAATATTTAAAAATATGTAGGCCACTACCTCCGATCGCCAAAAAAATGCCATCTTGTGTAAAAAAATTCACATTTGTCTGAAAATGCCATGAAGATCGCATTTTTACTCTTTGAAAATATTCAACTTTGTTTTTAAAATTGCCATAACAATGACAATTTCTCCCCAACTTGGCAATATTTTCCGACGATCGGATGTGACGGTGCTGAAAGGTGGCTGAGGTGGTGGTTGAGGTCGGTATATTTTTTACTTATTTTTACGATTTTTATTTTTTTAATGTTTTAAAATGATTATTTAAAAAATCCTATTAGGAAGGACAAGGGAAATGGTAGAATAGGAAGAGTTAGTCCTATTTTGGAAATTTAAACATTAAACTCTTATTGTTGCAATTATCTTCTCATTTAGGATGTTTTTACTTGGACTGTAATTCCTCCCAGACCAGACCAGACCAGATCAGACCAGACTTGGATAGTTATAAAAATACAAAGAAACCAGACCAGACCAGATCAGATCAGCAAATTACAGTCCAAGTAAAAACATCCTTAGTCCTATTTAGGGAAACCTCTCATTTCCTTTTTTGGCAAGAAATATGTTATCTACAGTATATTATTTCACTTTATTCTATTCAAATCGCAACCATAACTTTTACTTTTCAAGACATTCAATATGGGAAGTAGATACTCCCTCTGTCCCAATTTGATTTGCAAAATTTCCTTTTTTGGTTGTCCCAAAATGATTTTCCACTTTCTATTTTAGGTATGTAAATAAGAATAAAGTGACAAATTTACCCTTACTTTTACTTTTTCCCCATTAACTTAAAGGCAATTACTTTTATAAAGATGAGCAAAAGTGTAAAAAGCAAGCATCATTTATTGTCATTTCTTAATTCTTGTGCCGGTCAAAGTTTGCAATTCAATTCGGGACGGAGGGAGTAGTATCTTTAATCTGAGCAATCTCCTCTAAACAAAATAGATCCATATTTCTAGGCTCTGACATTGGAGTTTCTGTAAAATAAGTAGATGTTTTTCGTTTATTATCTACTTAAAACTATTAAAGAAATACGGAGTACAATACTACAATTGAACTTACTTATACTTCTCATCAATAATTTTAACAAACTGAACAAATGAGTTTATCATTTGAAGAAAAGCATAATTTCTCTTTATTTGAAAGCACAGACAAGTCAAGTACCATACAAATACAATTTAAAGATACATTAACACTAGCTGTTTGCAGCTACACGCAAAATTTCACAGTTTTGTGCTCACGCTGGCCTGTTCATGGATCAAACGTTGTGCTCCACTGACCAGCCTACGGACCACTTCACAGGCCGGCAGAATTTCCTTTATAAGGCCAACACCTTGACCAGCATACATTGCCATGCTCTCTATATCTCCGGTTGCTTTTCCATTAGGGACGGGTCCTGCAAAGCGCCGAATTTCCTTTTCCTGTTTTACAAGAAAGAAAAGTCACATATCAGCCAAGCCATCTATGGCAAAGACTACCATCCCTCCTTTCTACTCATCTTTGTAGGAGAAATCTATTTACCCTGCCATGTATGATTGAATAACCCATGATGATAGGTTGACTCGTCTCGTTCTCATGACTAGGGAGAGTTCTCCACTCCATAAAGAATGGTGTCTTTAGGACACGGTGGGGTGCCCCTGGCCACCTTGCACGACCAAACACGTCTGTATACTCTGTCTCATCATATTCAACCAACTTTCTCTTGTAAATTGGGTGAGCATTACTTTCCACTGTTGCAACAAACCTAAAACCATGACCCAACCACCTTTATGTTAAGACTTATGTAAGGTTTGACGTTTTTTATTGGTCTGGTGTCTGACATTACATTCCCGGGGAAAATGATGGCTTGAACAATTTTATAAATTATGTTTATTATGGGCCTAGTGCCATAGCGTCGACCCAAAAAAATGAATCTGGGATGGTCATAGAAAAGCAATTCGCTCTTGTAAATATTTTGTCAAATTTTCACATTGGAGTCGGCCTGGGTTTCTCACTTTCCCCCTTGCCTGTTTAAGCCAGAGGCAAAGGCTCGATTAGCGGGCTACAATATCACACTAAGACTTCTGATTTCATGCTATAGTGTCACCATAAAATGAGTAATCCAATATCTTATAGTTTTATACCCCATGTGAGATATCTCAAATGTATTGGTGCAGTATTATGTGTTACATAGTGTCCCAAACCTCGTGCCTAATGCAACACCCTGAGCTCCAAGTGCAAGAGCAGCAACGTAGCCACGCTCGTCCACTATGCCTCCGGCGGCTATAACTGGTATGCCACGGGCATGAACTAGATCAACCACTCTCGGCACAAGAGTCATTAAGGCATCCTGAGAACAACACACACCATTAATTTCTTCTTCAATTCGGATACTGTGTGGATAGCAGGAATCGAGCCCGCATCTTCTCACAGAGGAAGGAAAATTTTACTTGCACTTTGAACAAAAGTCGTTTATTGTTATACCTGGCCAATAATGTGCCCACCTGCTTCACGGCCTTGAACCATAATTGCATCGACACCAACATCATAGGCTCTCTTTGCTTCTTCATAGCTTCCCACCTAAAAAAGTAGTACACAATCCACCAGGTCAAACTATAGTGACGTATGGCACTTATAATCCACTCGGCTCTTAATAACTCCAAAATCATAATTACGGGTTAAGAGTATCACGTCAGAAACTTAAAAGAAAGATATAGAAGTTCCTAAGGGTTTGGATTAGAATATAAATCCATCAGATTTAATCTTTTAGTGTGTTTTATAGGACACGTACATCATGACATGGTTAGTTGACTTCATTCAATAATTCAATAATGAATTATAGCACTTAATAATCCTTCAAATTTTTAGAAACCAGTGCCTCCATCTTTGGATAGGATGACTTAATATGAATAAGATAAGATGCTCAGACAAAACCATTAATATACTAGTACAAATGGAAGTAATTTCTTCACCACATAATAAGGGGGGGCTTACTTGGGGCACAATTTTGACCCCGGCTTTATGAGCCTCAAGAACAAGCTCCTTTGTGCATTCACCCCAGTAAAGCTGTAAGACAGCAACTTTTTCCTTTAATATAGCCTTAATATTCTCCTCATGAGGAAACTCAAGAACCACTCCTATTCCAAATGGTTTGTCTGTTAAGGCTTTTGTCTCTCTTATGATTCTCCTAATGTGATCAGGATCCTCCTGTTACAACCAAAATAATTGTCATGAAATTTCAACTGAAAGAATGCTACAAGTGACAACAAGAGAGATGTTTGTAGTCTAAACAATTTACCATGTAGCTTAGAAAGTTAAAATGTTTCAACTCTTTCCATTTTATGAAGGTCAGCCAACATTAATTGGGAATATCCCCACACTGAAGTTTATATTTCATTTTATAAATGTTGATACTGTATTATGACTAGAAGGTCAAACTATATTGTCAACTAGATGGGAGGAGTAACACAAATGCACAATGAGTTTTGATCTGTACCTGTACTCTTCATTATAATTAGATATATTATACGTAGTATATAACAAAATATCTAAAAGAGCTATGAGAACCACCTCAATAAAGAATCAAATTAGTTACCAGTCTTTGAATATTCCCAAACTACAAATGAAGAACTGTGTGGAAAGATAATTTCAACATTCAAGGAAAAGATCCGACTTGGTAATCAAAACAATTATATAATGCTAAGGTAAATAATTCAAGAGGAGGTGTGAATTTTTATTTTCAAGTATCATCTCCCCCTAGAGAAAAAGGGGGTGAGGAGAAATAGGCCGGTACAGACCCAATCAGGGGCTCTAAGAAGGCCAAGACCGTCGGCACTAGCAACAGCAGCAACAAGCTCCGGGCCGGAGATATCCGGTCCCAACGGCGCCTGCACAATCCCATACTCGAAACCCAACACCCCTCTCCAACCCATCTGAAATAATTGACAAGAAAAAACTCACCTTTCTCGCAATCCGACCTGCTAGCTACCATTCTTATCAATCTTCTTCGTGTGATTTTGTCTTATTGTGATTTATATCTGGCTTTTGCTTATAGGCAAGGGACGCTGAATGTGGGGAAGTGGCGGTCATTCGTTCACCTTTTCTTTTGTACATCCGCAGTCAAACAAGTTCACAAACGTCCGCAATCCAACTTCTCCGGGTGGCACGGTTAAGAACATATCCTTAACATGTGCCATGAGAGATAAGTGAAAAAGAAGAAAAACTTCCAAAAATACGGTGAATAAAAATGTATCATTGGTAATTTTTGTGACCGTATTTATGATATAAAGTTAGAAATAATTATGACCAAAATAAAGATAATTTACAAAAATATGATTAATGACTAGAGCAGTAATGAAATCATAGTAATTCATGTTCAAGTTTTGAGCTTAAGTTAGCACAACACCAGATTGTAGTAATGAATAGTCATATTTATGTAAATATGACTTTTTTTAGTAATATTCTTGTAAAAAACCAAATCGAAACCCGAAAACCGACCCGGGTTCGAACCGAAAAATGTTACAGGGACGTTTTTTTTTAATTTTGACGGGTCGGTTAAAAAAACTCGGACCGAACCCGAAATTCCGGGCCCAAATCCGGTCCCTAAAAAATACAAACCGGTCTGGACCGGTCAAAACCCGACCCGAATATTTTATTATAATTTATTATAAAAAAATTAAGATATTCTATGGAAACAAGTCCAAATACTCACTTGGGGTCTTCTAATATGCTTTGTTTTTTAATCCATTTTAAAGAGAAACATCATTTTGTCAGAACTTTGTTCTCTTAAGTCTGAATTTTTGCTATTGGGATTTTGCTAGTATTTATGTTTGGCTCTTCATGAGTGTTTTGGATCAATACTTTTTTTGTGCTTGAAATATTGTTGCTTTATAACCTTTGAATTATTGATTAAATAGTTTTGCTTTGACTATAATAAAAAGAGTAAATTCCCTGAATGGGACTAAAAGAATAGAAAAATGCAAAACTAGAACTATCATGTTTTTTTGGACTTTTTTAGGACTAAATTGCAGTAGCTTGACAAAATTACCCTTAATATTAAAACTCCAGTCTCCAGTCCGCAGTCCGCATCGCATCAAACTATTCTCCTATGAACTGCAGCTCCGCCACCGACTATGGCCTTGCAACGCACCTCCTCCGTCGACCGCAGGTAATCTCCTCCTCCTCTTCTTCTTCTTTCTTCTTTCTTCTTTCTTCTTTCTTCTTTCTTCTTCTTCCTTCTTCTTCCCCTGGTGCACTTCTCCCCCCTCCTGCACTCTGTTTTCTGTTTTTTTTCTATTCATCTACTACCTTTTAAAATTCTATTTATTGATTGGGATTTTTTTGGATTTGAATTTTATTTATTCTGAAAAATGCCACTTTTATAATCTGAGAATGTCAAAATTATTTGTTATTTGAAAAAACTGCCACATTTGTGGCAGTATATATATCAAAATGACAATCTGAAAATGTCATATGTCCATAAGAAAATGTCATTGTTATGACATTTTATGACATTTTTATGACTTGTCTGAGAATGACATAATTGAGAATGTCAGTTTTTATACGAAACTTCCATCATCATGTTATTATTCTTGACATTCTCATTGGAGGTCTGCAAGTATGAAACTTGGGATTTTGACATTTTTAAGATTTCAAATTCACTACTGAGACTGACATTGTTACTCAAAAAACTGACATTTTAAATGTCATTTTTGTTTCGAAAGTGTCATGCGAATGACATTATTACTCTTTGGAGATGTCATTTTCTTCTTTGAACTGTCATCTTGATAAATGTAATGTCGTAAAAGTGACATTTTTCTTATTGATTGTAATTTATGGCATTTTGAGGTTCCAAATTAATCAAAATTAATAAATAAATAAATAAATAAATAAATAATTGAAATCTAAAGAAGAAGAAAAAAGAGGACACAAATAAAACTCAAATCCAAAAGATTCAAAGAAGAAGAGAACAGAGGACCAGAAAATTGAAGAGGATTAGAAGAAGAAGAAGAAGAAGAAGAAGAAGAAGAAGAAGAAGAGGAGGAAGAAGCGGAAGAGGAGGAGGAGGAAGAAGAAGACCTACCTGATCGTCGATGATTGCAGAGCCACCGTCGACGGCGGAACAGCGATGCGAGGCCACAGTCGATGGTGGAGCAGCTTTCCATGAGAGGAAGAGATGTTATGCGATGAATTGCAGAGTCGGCGAAGTGTTACGATGAATTGCAGGGACTTATTTAAATCAGGGGCTTAATTAAATCAGGGGTAAAAATGTAATCTTTAGTCCTATTTAGGGAATAATAAACTTAAAGTCCTATTGTGGAATTTAGACAATGTTTTAGTCTCATTAAGGGCAATTATTTTTAATAAAAAGTGAGAAGGTTGAATCGTTTTGATGGATTATCGAACATTTTTTTGAATACTTTTTTAATAAAAACAATGATATTTTTTATTGGGCTTTAACCGACGCTATCCGACCCGGATCGAACTCGAGCCTCAAAAAACCCGGCTCGAACCGAATATGTCGGGCTTTTTTCCGGTCCCATTTTTTCATAACCCGAAAAGTTTCGGGTAATTTCCGGGTAGAGCAAAAACCCGACCCAACCCTGACCGATCCCACCCCTATATAAAGTATTATGATAGTACTAGTATAATACAATGACTAAAGTGTAAACTTTTAACGCAATTATCACTAAAGGTTACAAAGTCACTTTTTTATCGGTGACTTTTTTTATTAGTAATATTTTAGAAAATCCTCATAAAAATGAATCATACTTCTCTCTTTTTCTATAGTTTTACCTCTTTTTGTAATTGTTTGTCAATGGTGTAAACTAGGGTGTTCACATTTAGACATTGTATTTGACACTCTAATTTTTTGTTATTACTAATAAGATAATGAAAAGAAAGAGAGATGTCATAAAAAATTTGCTCATCTCTTTCATGAATTATGTATTAGAGATGCTCTCAGAATGTTGATTCTAAGGTGAAAAAAGAAAAGGTCCCTCAATTTGCAACCGTAAATTTTTTTATCAGTCGTCAATGGTCGAGCACCCTAACTTAGTGCCAAAACAAGATAGAGATCACTAGGGGTGGGCACGGTTGGTTAACCGGATTTTGGTTAACCAATTTTCGGTTAATCGAGATATCGGTTACTAAATTTTCAATACCGCTATCCGTACCATAATATTGGTTAACCGTATATCGGTTAACCAAATATTCGGTTAACCACTAACGGTTAACCAATAAACCATAAAACAATTAACAATAAAGGGAAATATACTTCATGAACAAAAACTTGTACTACTGGTGGGCTCAATACTTGTCACCCATGCAATAACCTAGCAAGTAATGGTGTAGTTGATTCCATTTGAAGCACAATTATTATTATTATTATAAATATTTATGATTTTGGTCATTAATTGACAAATTTTTCAGCTTTGAGTTTTATCCTTAATTATAATCAGCTCTTTAAATGTGACCAACGAGGAGAGCAGCTATGGCAACCACTGTGGGAGACTTTCCAGTGATATCGACTATGAACCGGAAACAAATATTACGTAGTATATTCAAAATTTCACTACCGGTTAACCGCGGTTAACATAACTTCAACCGTCAACATACCATGAACCGTTTTTTCTTCGCGGTTGGTTAACCGTACCGTGAGTTGTAAAAAATTCGGGTACGATTAACCGAAAAATACACCGTTTTTTCGGTTATTTACCACGGTTAAGCGGTTACGGTTTTTCATGTCCACACCTAGAGATCACCCCATGATTAAGCCCTTTTCAAAAGTCATTTGTCTTTTAACTGTTTATCAAAAGGAAGGAAAAAATGCAGATGTACCCTTACTCAAGATCTTATCATTGGCTTATTCAAAGTGTTTGGAGTATTAGTTGAAATTGTTTATTGTTTTTAAGTAATCTTCTGATCGAGCTAATTTATAATTATAATTATACAAGTATCGATCGTAGTAATAAATATCAATAAAATTCTGAATTGATCCTCATGACGATCATTAGAGTTTAATACTAGTTCCTTATCAATTATTATGAGTACGAAATCACTACTATATTTCCGACTTCATTTAAGACCGTGAGAACATGATCTTCGCTACGTGTAATCCTGTTACGACTTATATTCATCTAAAACGATCACCTTTGAATATTAACACACCGGACACACCATACAAGATTAGATATATTTTCAACATCGATACTTGTATGTTTATCTTTTAATGTTAATAGTTTAGACCTCAATATTAATTGAAAACTAAGTTGAACATACTTCTATGTTGTAAAGTCATAAAAATCTAAATGTAAAAAATTAGTCATATATATTGATGACTCGAAACTTTTATCAAACACCTAATAGGCGTATAAATTTATCCCAAGTCATAGCTTTAGAAATTAGCTTCTAACACTCATATTAATCACAATACAATATTTAAAGTAAAAAAATACCAAATTACAAAAAAAAAAATGAACACTAATGGTTAAGATTAATGCTTTTCCTTCTTCAAGAACACCAACGAATATAAAAACTATAACTAGTACAAGAATTGAATGATGATTAAGGGCTGAGCTCATTTTGTAGTTATTTCTTGACCTTACGAAGGGTTAATTTTTATTTTAACTAATAAATGATATATATTCAATCACATCTTTCACACTGAATAATAAAACATACACAGTACTTTTTATTTGAAATTTAAATCGGTTATAATTACATATTTCATGCATTTATTGTATGTAATCTACTACCTCGGTCCCTAAATTTACTTCCAACTTTCCCTTTTCGTCCGTCCCAAAAAGAACTTCACTTTCCCCTTTTGGCAAAGAATTTGTGGTTCACAGTTCCCAGTTCGTTCTGCACAACTCTCCACTACACAATTCTCACTTCCTTAATCACCGTGTCACTTTAATTTGGAAGAACATTTAGGGACAGAGGGAGTATATAGATTGTTAGAATCCCACATCGAAAAAGTTTGAATCAACAAAAGTGCTATATTAAGACATGGGCTACTCCTCCTATCAGGTTGACCTTTTAGGATGGAACCCTAGATCTTAATATAGTATCAGAGCCAAACTGATCCATAATCATGGTGTGGGCCACCTTATGAAAAATGACGACACGATTAAAAAAATGACAATGACGAACCG